TGATTTTGGATAATAGCGAACAATAAATAATAATAGGACAAATAGGACATTAACGAGTAATAAAACTAGATATTAGATCATATATAATAAAACACGCACGCTCTCGATCAAGTAGAGTTTAAAATGAGCTGTCTTTCTGTATTGTTGGTTTGTTATGTGTCATCCTTAATAACTGTTAATAAGTAGCAAAATTGTCAAGAAGACGATGATAGGTAAGCATACTACCAATTGTAGGGGATATATATTATAATTTGGACATACGTTGATCGGTAATTTTTTATTAATCGCAGCGCCTACGGAACGGGTTAATTTCTCGCATACTAACGATGAAACCATCCGAGATCTGAACAAAATCAGAGATCATATCGAGGCGAACATTGTTGGACAGGACGGATTGAAACACGCGTTAATTGCTCAAAAACTCTCGATTCTGAATAACTATAATTAAATTTCGATATCATGTGAATTGTAAGAATTTATATTTCAATAATTATACTGAAGAAGACCGCGTGCGGTCGAAACGTTTATAGAATGATTGTAATTTGCGTTAGTTTTAATATAATGACTGTAGTTTTATAATTTATACATGTAATAAATGGTAGTTGACTGAACATCTCGAATATTCAGCTCGATAAGTTGGCCTTATATTTATCACTTTGTTTTCAATATACGAGCGACAATTGGTATTAATTTATGTTTAAAAAATATCGTCAATACCTTTAAGCGAAGATTCCTAAAACGAAAAATGAGACAAAAATTATTTGTTACAAGAATTTTAAAACTCAAAAACTAATCATTTCCGGACCTTAAACGGACCTGAACTAATCATTTCCGAACTTATGAGTGTATAACATTTCTTTCTTCTCTATAAGCATGAGAAATCCATTCCTGAAAAGCGAATTATCTCGAAAATATATATTATCAGTTTGATTTTAGATAGCGTTTTTAAGATCATTTTAAGGTCAACCCGATTTTTAAAATGAAACTTATCTATATGTCACGTGTAATAGATAATTATATGTAAATAGATTTCAGAAGTTGTTAAAAATAAAAAGATAAAATATTTTTATATTCTTTATAGATGGAACGAACCTAAATTTACAAATGGAGTGATACAAAAATATACAGTTCAATATTGGTTTTTGAGAATCAAATAATTCATAGAAGAGTTGTTATAATCAAAAATTTCACGATATTGCAACTAAAGTGTACAATTTAAAACCTGATGAAGTGTATTATTTCAAAGTACAAGCGCATAACAAATTTGGTGCTGGCTCTTATACTAAGTTCATCAACGTGTCGACCACGCATGAGAATCCAGTACCTTTATTACTCATCTATAAGATATCAAGATTGCATGTACTGGATATAGATTTAAAGATCGGCTTTAAACGTGATATATATAAATACTGTACTGAAATCGTTTACTCAGCATTGGAACACAAGATTTATGGGATTAATGACGCGTAGAAATAATAACATTGGAATTTAATCCGAATGCAATCGAAACAAATCAAAATTATACAATAATAGCAAAAATCAAAGGCGGTGGATATTCTCTGTGCATCGATTGGATTCATGAAAATCTTTATTGGTTAGAAAATACTATGGACGGTACTTACATTATGAAACTGAACTTAACATTAGTACAACAAAAAGGCATCAAAACATACGAAAAAATCGCACTGGCTGCAAAGCATACTTCATTTTTAAAAGTATTGCCATATAAGAGGTACATTAAATTTAATTAATCTAACAAATTGAACAATATATTGTGTTTTTTTTAATTAAAGATTTGTGTTGTTCTATAACTTGTTAATTTAATATGCAAATTTTGTATTAAAGATCCATAAGTAATGCAATCATAAATTTACATAGAAACGTATAAGATATAAATAAACATATATTCGTTTGTGATAGATATGTAATTATAATAATGTTTAATAAAAGTGAGCAATATAAATATTTTTCAGACATTTATATTGGACAGTAGATTCTTCAATAGTGCAAACGGATTTGAATGGTAGAAACAAATTATATATGGCAGACAATAAATGCTTCTGCCTCAAGACATTTCTAGGATTGCAACAAATTGATTACACTTTTATGACGATTGATACAACGATTATTGACGAGCCGCTAATATATTGGATAATAAACAATGAATATTTAATCGTCACGGATATTAATGGTTGTAATTGCAATATGATTTTAAGATTTCCAAATCAATTTACTTATCGTATTAATGATATAGTAATTGATAGTATTAATATTTACTTGATTACTTATGAAAAAATATATATTTTAAGAAAGGAAAATGCTCTTCTCGAAAGCAAAGAAAACATATTTCAATGTTTTCAAAAAATCCATTACGGCTTTTTTGACTTGTTAGCTCTTGATAAAACTTTACAATTATATCCCCCGAAGATATGTCTAATACCTACGAAAGATAATCGTGTTGAAGAAATGTTAATAACTGCAGACAGCATTAAGGTGAACCTTCCGGAGCCGAATCTCACTGACGAATGTAAAAAGTACAATTTTATTTTTATATATGACATCTTTGTGAGTTATTTAAAATATTTAGACAATGATCTCAACAAATTCGAGGAATTTCATGTCGAAACGTACGAACGGCAGTACGAATTCCAAAATTTGACGCAGTTGACAGAATACACGTTAACGCTGGCAGTGAGCAATTATTACATCAACAAGATGTCGATGGATTTGCAATTCGGCCCAGATGTAAAACTGATAACTACGGGCAAGCTCTATGCACCGGATGTAGTAGTTAAAGTTGTAATGCCAAATCTGACGGTAATTGATTCGATGACACCGAAAAAATTAAATTGCGTGGCAGTGAATTATGAGGTGAAATTGGTAGAATATCCAAATAACACTCAAGAAAATCAAAATTCGGTTTGCTTCATAAAAGTCAATAAACTAGAACGTACGACAAATGGCAAGTTTTTCGCGGTAATTCCGTCACCAAAGCAAATATACGAGATATACCTGTGTGTGTATCCAATTATTCGGACAGATGTCGTCACTGACAGTGTAATAAAAACAGTCTACATGTCCGAACCGAATAATTTAAGTTTGGATGGGATCGATACAAACAGTATGAATATCTCGTGGATTCCAAGCGTTAATCTGACGATTCCTACTGAATTCTTTATACTAGAATACAAAAATGCTGCGTCACGAAAGAGGATATGGGAAATTGCGAATAATATTAAAGGAATAATGATAAAATAACATATCACATAGAAAATTTATTGCCGCAAACTAAGTACAAATTTCGTTTGAACTTAAAATATACTGAGTATAAAGAAAATTTCACATGGCCGTCTGATGGAAAAGAATTTATTTTTGAAACGCTCGGTAAGCAAATGAAGACGTTATGAAAACATAGATTTACTTTAAGAATGTCTTAAAAGTTTTTCGCATTAGAAATTGAATAATGAAGTTTTAAGTAAAATGTCTTAATAATAATTGATTATTATGTGCATGAAGAACCGCCAGATAGAATTAAAAAAAAATTAATAAACACCCGACCAACCTGGCAAAAATTTATTAATTCACTTCACAACGTTTAGACCATGATTTAAATCCTTAACAAGTGATTTGCGAAATGTAGTTTAAATTTTAAGAAGTAAGCAAGTGAGTACATTGTGTAAAACTGACATCATGTTTTTGACATTACTTAGCTTAATTTCTTAAATTTTAACTACATTTCACAAATCACTTGCTAAGGACCTAAATCATGATCAAAACGTTGTGAAGTAAATTAAAACTTTGCCAAATTGGTCGAGAGAAGAGTGTTAGTATTTTATTTTTGAGAAATATGTGTCGACCAACTGGCAATTTATTAATCTTATTACGTTTCAATCTTTCCTTGATGTCCATTTCAAGTAATGTAGTTCTTAGATATTATGATAATATCTTAAATAAAAAATCCGAAACGAAGAATTGTACTTTTATGTAACAAAGGTGATGCAAGAAAGATTCCTAGCGCAACTGGGACAGCTATGCAATATTATCTGCCATTAATATTATGTCTTATTGTAATCATTGTAATATACAATGTTTACTACTTTTATTGTAGTAAGTATATTTTATATAAATTTTGGATTTTTATTATAAATTGTTTAGATTTGGTATATAGATATACAAACATATAAAATTTGAAAAAGTCAGCATTATTTCTTAAAAAGAATTAAGATATTGCAATGCGGAGCATTATGTCGTGTATTAAAAGTTTTTTTATATGACAGCATACAGGCAACGCAAAAGAAGTAACGAAATAGTTTCGCCTCCAATAATGATCAATACGGAATTAGTACCTTTAAATGAAATATCTTTCGGGTGCACTCAACTAAATTTGCTGAACCCTCCTAGATTGCAATATAATTCAGACGAATTTGCGTTGACCATAATCGAAAAAAATCAAATTATCCAAACAAAGTTTTTAGGTAGCGGCGCATTTGGTAGTGTAGGTATCAATTTTTATTACTTAAGTATATTTTTTATTTTTTAATCGTCCAAATTGATGGTCAAACATATTTTTAAATAAAAGTAATTGTTAAAATTAAAATTTCTCTGAAAAAAAGTCAAATAGGATAAACATTTTTAGCATACATTTTATCGATTTGTCTGTTAATTATGTAATATTTCACAGGTATATCAAGGAATCATAAAAAATTTTGAAGGGTTGGACACAACACCAGTTGCGATAAAAATGCTGAAAAGACAAGCTTCTTCGAAAGAAAAAAAGGAATTCTTGAAAGAGGCTAAACTTATGAGCCACTTTCGACATAAAAATGTGCTAAGAATATTAGGCATTTGTTTGAACACGAATTCACCGTTACTTATATTGGAATTAATAGAACCTGGTGACTTATTGAATTATTTAAGAAATAATGGAACATTGCAATCGTCAGATTCGTGCGCGTTGCGTCTGAAAGACTTGCTCGCCATGTGCGAAGATGTTGCTCGAGGCTGTTGTTACTTAGAAAGGCAGCAATTTGTGCATAGAGATCTCGCGTGTCGAAATTGCTTAATATCCGTAAAAAATCATGAAAACCGTATTGTGAAAATCGGCGACTTTGGACTAGCCAGAGATATTTACAAGGATCACTATTACCGTATGGTAAATACAATTACTTGAGAAAGCTAAAATTTTTTTTCTATTTTTTCATAATAATACAATTTTAAGCTGATTATAACGGTAAAAATAAATTATTTTTATTTGTATACCTATGAAGAAGGGAAAATGAGAGTTGATTGTATGCGCATAACGCTTGTTTCTAAATTTCTGAAGGAAGTTCGATAAAAATAACTTAATTGTGTTATATAATTGTGTTTTAGAAAGGAGACCACCCGCTTCCTGTTCGCTGGATGGCACCGGAATCTTTAGTGTTTGGAATATTTACTTCACAAAGCGATGTTTGGGCTTTCGGAGTACTAATGTGGGAAATTATGTCATTGGGTGAACATCCTTATCCTGGCAAAAATTATTCCGAAGTTATAGAATATGTGCGTGAGGGAGGCAAACTGCCAAAACCTCTCAACTGTCCACCGATGTTGTATCAGTTGATGCTACATTGTTGGAAATCTGTAATCGGTAGACCAAACTTTACAAATTGTCTCAAAAATATCAAAATCTTAAGAGATAACATAGAAGATTCGATACTTATAATAAGTTCGTTGGATATTTTTGGACATGGAGAGACGAATCAATCGTAATTCTTTTTATGGGTATATATTTTTGTATAGAGTAATGAATTTTTGCGATTCTAGATAATATCTATTAAGAAATATTGCTTTTATTTACTTTTGCATACATTTTATAACATAGTGAATGTTACATTTAATCCTTTTTTTATTAATATTACAATTCAAGTTATGATCTTATTTACAATATGTAGAAATTTTACTATGTTTAATAAATTTTTTTAACTCACAGTTATATACAATACTGCAATCAAGTGGCATTTAAAATATAATTTGTAATTTTTTTAAATAATTTACGAAAAAAACGTTTTTTGCAAATTACATGTCAGAGATGTATACTAATAATATAAGTTTTTTTTTCAATTATGACTTAATTATCTATACATTGTTTTCTTTTACGATTGATGCATTTATTCATTATTTATTCTTTTTTGTATATTAATAATTTATCACATGCGCATTTTACATAAAGAATTCAGCAATTCAACTAAAATTTTTAGATGTGATTATAGTTTTTCGTATTACACTCTTTTGCTGGTAAAATGAAGAAAGTATTTATATTTACAATTTTTACATGAAGCAAATAAAGAAAATACGGATAGTATATTCAATATTATATTTATATACATATAAGTTTCGCATATATATAAATCTTTAAAAGAAGATAATCATTCTTATTATATATAAAATTTTTTGAAGTCACTTTAATTTGTCGAATTTTAATTAAATTATTTATCGCATATATAGATATATTGTCGCATTTAAATTAAAAAATGCGACAAATATTGTTCCGATATAGTTAATGCAATAAATAAATTGACAAGTTGAACTTGTAAATATTTGATCAACGTCTTGTAATGTCAATCTCTAAATAATAGCAAGATAGTTTTAATGATACTGTAAACGCATTGTAAAACTATAAGTGAGTTTACTACATCGGGAAAGTAAAGTATATTATCTATATTATTCATGATAAATGTAGTAATTTTTATGCAGCACACATAATTTTGAAATATATTTTATATTTATTATTTATAATTATATAAATGTAATATTATTGATTTTTATTATTTCCATAATCTTTTTAGTTGAAAAGTTTTAAAAAACTACAAAAAGAGATTTATTACACTGTTTTTATTACAATCAAATTTATTATATCTACTCATTATTTTGTATTAAGTTTAATTAAAAAAATACAATAATCACTGACTTATCAGCAGTTTTGTATTTTAAATATACCATGAAAATCATTATCATACTTGGTTAGAATGAGAGTCTTTAAAAGTATCATTCACAGATAATAACTTGCATGCACAAAAATGTAGGATGTGCTATTCTCGTTTACTAGGCTTCCAAATTGATATCTAAACATGTACTTAGATTCCTTTATTCAATGTCAAATCCGGCCTAGTCTAATTTCAGAAAAAACAATCCGTCTAGCCAATAAATAGATTTATAGTTCATTTAACCTTACATTTTGTCGATAAAACAGGAGAAAAACAGACTTTTTAAGAACGTTTAGGATCTCTTTAAGGCATTTTTAGGATTGCTAGAATTTGACAACCTTCAAATGACGATTCTCGGAAAGCAAAATGCGCGCAAATTGTTAGCAGATTGGCGACAAATTTCTACAAAAGTTGCTAACAGATCAGCATCGGTTATTTCCATAATTTGTTTACGATTTGCTAGCAGTATCTGTTTACAGAATCTGACAGCAAATTGACAACAAAAACCGAGAAAAATCTTGAGATCAAATTATGTGCGTAGATAGTGTTTTTCTTGTCAAGTCAAAAATTAATTCTATTTTATCCGTTCCCTTTCTTTAATTATTGTAATTAAAATTTTTACAATATTTATATCTATAATGAAAGTGTTGGACATATTTTTTAAATTATTTATTACAAAAAAATGTATTATAAAACACGAAAAAAATTTCGTATATTATTCAATCAGTATTGCAAAGCTTTTCCATTACTAAATCGTCAAATCAACAAGTAGTTTCAATCTTTTATTATTAGATAACAGTATTATAAAATATAGATTTACCAATACTGCAAATATATCGAAATAATAAGATAAATAAGTTTACTCCTTCGAAAATATAATAAAAATAATATAATTAAATAATTTTTATTTTATTTTTATTTATTGATCATTTATCTACTTGAATATTTTGAAAAACTACAAAAAAAAGAGATTGTATTATTGTCTTAGATAAAAATTGATTGTACTATATACGCATTATTTTACACAAGATTTGAGTGAAGAAAATAATTTATCAACAGTTTTATAATTTGAAAATCATCATAAATATCATTATCGATTATGAGAAAATAAAAAATTTGTATTTAATATATATATACGCATACACATACAAATTTAATGTATTAAAAAAAAAAAATTACCGAGAAAACAGAACCGGATCTAGATATTTTTGCACTCAAAGAAATTAGTATTAGTAATCGACGCCTTTCTTTTCTACATGCGCATGCACACACACACATCAAAATAACATACGCGCTTGCTACTTAAATTGCTACTTAAGTTGATGCTAATATCATTTTTGCATTTTTCTAAAAAAAATGTTTTGTCTAAAAAGTTGTTCGATTTATTGTTTATTTTTATGCCGTCTCATGTCTTTCACTCGAGGCAAGTGCCTCGCTCGCCACATCCTAGATTTGGCTCTGCGAATGATATAAACAGCAAACCGATATATCGAAGTATGATAGCTTAACTTTGTCGAAAAACAAGCTGTAAAAACAGGCTGTAAAAAATAGAAAACAATGTATCAGGGAAAGCATGCATTAAAGGATTATCAATGCAAATTGACCCTGATAAAAAAATCGAAAAGAACAATAGATAACGAATGCATCATTTTTTTATCGTAGTTCTATAACTATAATTATATACAATTGATTCCGGTAAATTTTCAATCATTTTTTCTCAGTAAAATTCCACAAAACGAGTATAATAGCTTAACTTTGTTGAAAAACAGGCTGTAAAACAGGCTGCACAAAAATAGAAAACATTGTGTTAGTGGAAGCATGCATTAAAGGATTATCGATGCAAATGCCATTTGCATCCCTGATAAAAAAAATCGATAAAAAACAATAGAAAAACGATTGCATGATTTTTAATCGTAGTTTCATAACTACAATTATATACAATTGAATACGATAAATTTTCAATCATTTTTTCTCGGTAAATTCCAAAAAAACAATAAAAAACAATATATTACTATAAGAATTTTATCGTATTCTAACGACTGAATCCGATGGATAACAGAAAATGAAAGAAAATGATAAGAAACAATAACATTTCTTTCAAAATATAAAAAGTGAAATAATATAGGTTACGATAGAAAACGTTCCAATTTTTTACAAATCCTATCGATTCCTATGTTTTCTATCGATTTTTTTTATCAGGGATAACTAATGTAATGTGTACAATTTCTTGATTTGTTTTTGCAACGTCTGCATTCAAGCTCAAAGAGCACATGTTGAAAAATTATTTATGAAATTAATATTTAAACAAATGAGATGTTTGTACATTTTTTCCTGTTTTATTTTGATTTTTCAGAATCACTTTCTACGAATAATCATGTGACCTTACTATGAGAGTAGTAAAATTTTTAAACTTTTGTACTCAGAATGATCTCACAGACAACAATCTATCAAAGTTTGTACACTCGTACTTCTGAATTATTCTGTATATATGTATATTCTTTCTCTAAAGAAATTAATGAAAAAACATCATAAAAGCAACATATTGCAACATTGAATGTGTATGCAATTTAAGTAGCAGACGCGTGTGCAATCATTATTGATTTCACTATAAGTATACATACAGTGTTCCACAAAGATTGAAACCTTAGAACATCTCGAAAAATATAAGTTAATTTCAGATAAAAATTGTAGTTTGAAAATATTATATTTGCTGATCTCATCATTTCGACTTAGAATGGTAGTGCCAACGCCAGATAAAATAATCTTGAAATTTTAAAATAAAAATACAATAATTTTTAAAAATATTTTTGAAATTAATTTCTCGCAATGTTCTGCAAAAAAATTTTAAAAATAGGATGATCAAGAAGTGAATAGTTTACAAGATATTTTATACCTTGATGTTGATATAAATTTAATATAAACTCTGAAATATCTCGTAAAACATTTATTTTCTGACAATCTAACTTAAATAATTTTATGTACAACATAAAGAAATCAACTGCCCTAAAAAAATAACACACATAATTATTTTTAAGATAAAATATAGAGCTATATACTATATGTTCATATATAAATATAATGATACATGTATAATGAATGGCGCAACTGCTTCTTACTTTTGCATATATTTTTGTACATACACAACTGTATACACAAGATGTACAACAAATATTAAATTCCTTAATTTGACGAAATCTATACAGTTTCGAAAAATATGTTTTATACAAAAGTTGTAAAACACTGTTTGTATATGTGTCTTGTGTATACATGTTACTATTTTATGTTAATATTCATATCTTATTTCATATATGTATTATTACGTATTTTAAAATAAGGAAAAAAATTAAATAACAACTAGCTTTAAACAATATTATAAATTTTAAAAATCGGTTCTAAAAAACGATAAATATTATTAAAGACTATTTACTTAACGATGATTTAAATTTAATCTGTGAAATTTCAATTTCTACACTAAAAAAAAATTTGTTAAATTAACAATTTAGTTCAATACGTTCAAATAAATATTTTATTTGAAACAAATAAATATTTATTTGAAACAAATAAATATTTATTTGATATAAAAAATACTTATTTGATATAAGAAAATCCTTTTCAAAACTAATAAATATTTATTTGTTTCAAATAAATGAATTATTCGAACGTATTGAATTAAATATTTGTTAATTTAACAAACTTTTTTTTAGTGTATTATAAACAAAAGAAAAACGGCCAGGGCGATACATACAGGGTGTCATTTAATTCGCGCCCACTAAGTAGGCTAAAGCTCAGCCTTTTACAACCCTACTTTATTGAATAATTTTTCTTTATTAGGCAATATAAAAAAAAATTGTTCAGGACTTTTTGACTTATTATTTTTTGTAAGAATTAACGCTGTGCACTTATAAATAGTGGACGCAAATTAAGTAACACCCTATATAAGATCACATTTTTTAATAATTTTTTGACAGCATTTAAAGAAATTCAGTTAACTGAAATAATGAAAACTTCAATCCTCATTTTATTTAGTTAAAAGTGTGTACTTACAGTGTTGAACATTGCTTCAGGATTGAATTCGGCTTTGTTCCAACTAGACCGAATTATTCTTTCCACAGGCTCGCTTGGTTCGGGGTACGCATCTCCAACAAGACAATCGTAGAACGACAGCAAACACATAAACCCGATCAATCTTACTGCATCATAAGAATTCACTAAACATGGAATGAAAACGGACAGCTCGAGAGTTTTTTGGAGTATCGGGATATGTATTATCGGAAAAAGGCAGAAAACACACGAGCAAAATGAATAACGACTGTGCGCATTAACATTCTACTCACTATTTATTAATGCTGCATTGCATCGTTCACTTGTTGTGATGTTACACTAATGAAAAAAGAAATTACAGATAGATGGAAGCAGAATATAACAATAAACTAATAAACAATCTCATGTGTGTGAATCTTATAATATGTGCTTTATATAAAACATATGCACTTTGTACGAATAAAAATGCACATTCCCTGGGATTCGAAGACACGAAAGGAAGCACTGTTATCCTTTCAACCTAGATTAGAAGTCTAATAAAAATTGTAATTAGGAATACGATTTGTATATATGTACACGTGCATATTTTGGATATGTGTTCTGCTATTTTGTCGGAGTTCGTCATTTGCTGAAGGATCCCCTTAAAGAAAATGAATATAATCATTATTATTACTTTACAAGTAGATACTAATTCTAAATAATACTAAATTATATTATCAGCTTTTATAGAAATTAACGCAAATGTTGTCAATCGTATATCTGTTACTAGAGTTCAGTGTGAAATATTCAGATGATTAATGTATTATCATATATCGTTGTTATATTGTTTCAATATTTCCCTTTCATGATCTTAAAAAGTCTTTCATACAGAAATGTAGGCGCATCATTAGCAAATATAAAGTGCGCGTGACTAAAATTGGGCCATGGCACTTCGTAGAAATCTATTATGTTGGGCAGTAAATCGTAGAACTTCTTCACATCCTTGAAGAAATATTTTTATGAATTATCATGTGCTCGATAATTTCTCTTTTAAGCTAACTTCCCGATTCTTTACATGCAATTTTATCTATACAGCCGAGTCACTCTACTGTAATATCTTATAATTTCTACGCTTTTTTTTATCAAATAAATAAATAAATACTTTTTTCATCACTTACAATGGGAACTACCATCAAGTCGTTGTTGCCGTAATATATCGCCATCGGTAGTGCGATATTTGATAAATTGTACTCTGGAGGTTCCACCGACTTGTAGATTATGAGATTTTTCATGGCACCGTAATCATATTGACGAAACTTGCACGATTGCATTCTTTGAACGAAGTGCACCACCGTCTTAAGCGAGGCGGCGGGCAGGTGACTTGCGATAACGGGCAGTTGAGTCTAAATAAGGAATAAAACACATATATATATATATATATACATACATATTTATCTGTGAATATATAAGATCCGATATAAAATCGCACGATTGCGCGGGCTTCAAAACCTGTATCTAACATTTTTTTAATATATATTTTTTTCGCGCGAGCTTAATAACTGTCTATATATATATACCATCTGTCTGTCTGACCGCAAAATACACCTTCATTAAGGGATCGATTTTCTCAAAATTGGTACCAAAATATGGTTGCAAATTTCTCGAGGTAAAAACATTTAGTTTGGAATGTTATCTCAAAATGTAGAAAAATGAAAAAAATATTTGTTAAAAATAATATTTATAAAAATCGAAATTTTTCACTGATTATCGCAAAACTCAATACCAAACATTATTTAATGATAATTTATTTTCGTAAAAAAATTTACTCAAATATCTTAAAATTTATGGAAATTAGAGCGACCAAAGACATTTCTAAAAAATTCAATTAAAAAAATGAATCCTTTCATTGATTCTCGTCTTTGATACCAACCATCTTTATTTTATAATTTAATATTATTTTTTGCAAAGAAATTATTACTCACATAATTAAACTGCTCTGGGTCGCTACCGTAGGGCGCAAATATGAAATTATTGGCGCAATATTCCGCTTGATAAAATTCAGGTTGCGGCCGATTAACGTCATTAATGTGTTATAAACATCTTGCGGAAATATTTCGCCATGGAATAAAACTTGCATTATCGACTGTAATGAAAAATTTTTTTATTCTTGATGTAATTTAAACCTATACTTGTTCAAATTTTTTGTGGCATTTTTAGAATAAAAAAATAGAAATATTTTCTGTATTTCGTTATAAGAATTAAGATAATTTAGAAAAGTGTTAATTCATAACTGAACAATAATTTTTTTTATATAAATACACAACCTCCATAAATTTAAACGATTTATATTATCAATCAGAATAATGTAATTTTTATATACTTTTTCATGTTAAAAGCAAGTTGACTCATAAATGTGCAGATTATATCAATATTTTGAAATAACGTTAAATCATAAGGTTAAAGATACAAATATAATAAAATAAATTTACAAATGAAAGAAAACAGTGCGTTATCTCAACGAAACTAAATTTTTTCGTTAGGATTAAAACCTGTGCACAAAGCACTAAATTTTTACTTGGACACGGCCAAAATTTAAAATTGGAAGGTCCCCCTTAAGGGGGAACAGGGGATGTATGGAATTAAATCTCTTGTAGAGATTATTTCAATATTATAAATATTTATAAAATTTATAATTAAAATATTTATAATATTTAAATATTTTACTGCTTGATCTACTATTTAAATTTTTTTATATGCTATGATTCTAAACCAAATTATCTGAACAATATTCTAAATAATTTAATAAATATAACACATTTTATCTAAGCTGCAGATATAGATAATATATTTTATCATCTATACAAAGATAAGATGAAAATTTAATCTATATCATATCTATATAATGTTATTTAGATAACAGTAAACACTGATATTTGTTAAAATATTTTTACAGTATTGTGTGTACTATTTATGAGTATTGATGGTGTAACTTTTTCTAAAGTGAAAACGTGAAAAGTTAAAAATTTCCGCCAATCATACATTAATTTTAAAATGAAATCGATGTGTGATTGAAAGAAATTTTTTTACTTTTTTGTTTTTACTTCAGAAAAAGTTACACAATAATCGATACCCTGTATGTGTATGAATAAATAATCTGTATGATACATTTTAAACGCCTATTAGCAATATTGCAGATACGTATGAAATACATAATTTACGTATTTAACATATATCGAATATATATAATCATATGTATCTGATATATAACGTAAATTACGTATCCATAGCGCGGACATTTATCGGTATTAAACATGTACTTAATACATAATTTATATGTATTACTGTGTATCTGCTATATAGCAACATTACAAATTTTATCTATTTGCTATATGTATCTGAAATCTAAAATGTCGTACGGGTACCTTATGAATGTTGAATGATTTTTCTTTAACATTCTGTATAAATAAAAATAATGCGCACAATGTTTTTAGATCTTTACATATATTATTATATGTATATTTGCATAACACAACTATTGTATATGTATATACATATATAGCACATGTGTTTGTTGTGTATATAGATGCTACTATTACATGTAAACATTTATTTTTTTATTTCATATAGTTATAGATTAAAAAACACAAAAAAAATTTAATATAGGAATTAAACAATAAAAATTAAAAAAACTCTTTTAATAGTTTAAAGTCGCCAGTAATGATTAATAAAAATTAAATATAAAAATAGTCCTAAGAAATAATAAATACTATTATATACATAATAAACGATGATGTATAATTTTAAGAAATTTAGATTTTGATTTTGAACAAAAGCGACATCAATCGCGGTATAAGATCGCAACTTTAAAATTTTTAAATTATTTATCGACAGTATTAAAAAATTCAGCTAATCGAAATAATAAAAACTTCAAAGAATTAAAAAGATATACTTACGATTTTAAAGTTCAGACTTTTTATAGATATGTGGATGACATTTTTGTTATTTTACCTAACTCTAAAATAAATGAAATTTTAAGTACATTTAATAATTATCATGAACGATTAAAATTTACGCATGAAATAGAGAGACCAATTCTTCTATTAATTTTTAAATTCCACAGTTATCCGCAATGGGAATGAATTGACAACTAATTGGTTTAAGAAACTTACATGTTCTGGCAGATACATCAATTTTCTTTTGAGTCATCCTATTAAGTATAAAATTAATACGATTTATAATTTAGTAAATCATGCAATTTTACTTTTAAACGAACAATTTCATAATACGAATATTGAGATTGTAAAGAACATTTTAATTAATAATTGCTTTCCGGGTCGTATTAATAATAAATATGTAAATAAAAGAATTAATGTACTAAATAATAATAGAAATGTTAACCGTTACAATGTGGATAATAACGATAATTTGAATAATAATTTGGATAATAACGATAATGTGAATTCGACTCAAAATAAGAATTATGTGATTCCACTTCCATATGTTAAAGACGTTAGCGACAGTATTAAAAGGTCACTTAAAAATGCTAACTTAAATGTCGTTTATAGTTTGCCAAAAAAGTTGAATAGGCTGATAAAACGAGGTAAAGATTTAATAACTAATGATATAGAAACGAATGTAGTATACAAGATTAATTGTGAAAATTGTAATGCCTCATACATTGGACAAACAAAAAGACATTTATGCACTAGAGTGAAGGAACATGCTAGCAATATTAAATTACATGAGTCTAATCATTCGGTTTTGAGTAAACACAGATGTGATTTTGGACATGACTTTAATTGGAAATCACCGACCATTTTACATAATGAGAAACATGTAAGAAAAAGAGAGATTGCTGAAATGTTCTTCATAAAGAAGCATGATAATACTGTTAACCTACAGAAAGACACTGAGAATTTGACAAATATTTACGACAAATTAATAAAGATTGTTTAGTGGTTTCAAATTTAGTCGTTGACGAAACATCATAGCGATGGGACGTGTTCCTCTTTTAACTATTAATTTTAAATAAGATCGGTTTTATGTTGCGTTAATCTCATTTTATTTGATGGGCATGTTTGTGTTTGTGGTCATAACTTAACATTTAAATATGTTCTTGTATGTTTCAACATTGTTAAAAACTATTGTGTAATATTGTGTTATAGTATTCTCACTTGATAATGACCACAACCAAATGGTCGAAATGTCGTGAAAGTATTGAATAAAATTGCTAGTTACGTCGAAATCAATTTTGCCAAGGTTATTTATTTACTTACTTATTTATTATTTATTTATTTAACTTTCATAATCCAGATCAGCGCAATGTACCTATTATCATATCGTTGTTACATTATTTAAATATTTCCCTTTCATGATTTTAAAAACTCTTTTGTACACAAGTGTAGGTGCATCCTCGGCCCATATAAAGCCCACGTGATTAAAACTGGGCCGCGGCACATTATACAAATCTATTACGTTGGGCAGTAAATTATACAACCTCTTCACATTTTTAAAGAAATATTTTATAAGTTATTATACGAATTTCTTTTATATAATTAAATTAATTCTCTTAATAACTACTTATGTTATTCTTCCAAACTAATTAATAATTCTTTTAACTTCTCAATTTTATATTTTAATTTATTATGTAATAATTCTCATTTTATCAATGCATATTTTTTACAACGAGATTACTTGTACATATATTACTTACAATGGGATCGACCAGGAAGTCGTTGTTGGCATAAAATATCGCGATCGGCACCTTAACACTCGATAAATCATAATCTGGCGGTTCTATCGAATTATAGATTAAGAGATTTTTGTGGCACCGTAGTCGTATCAACGAAACTTGCCCGATTGGATTCCCTGCGTTATGTGCACCACTGTCTTAGTCGAAAGACTGACAAGTATGTGACTCACGATTACAGGCAGCTGAGTCTAAACAGCAAATTAAAATATATATATTGTATATATATATATATATATATATATATGTAAGTGTGTGTGAGTGTATACACACAATAAAAGATCAAGCTTCAAAACGTTTTCTTAATTTTTTATCTGTGATATATTCTCGTTCAACGGTTTGAAAATTGTTTGATATGATTTTGTATTCGCACATTAAAACCTTTTAAATTTATTATTATAATTTGCAGACGAATATTTACTCAGTTATTACTCACGTAAGTAAACTGCTCACGGTCGTAACCGAAGACTGAAAATATGAAAATAGCGCACATCTCTGATAGAAGGAAATTTGAGTTGCAGCCGATTAATGCCATTGCCGTTTCAAAAACTTTTTGTGGGAGTAATTCGTCATAGAACAAAACTCGAAATATTGGCTGCAATTAAAGATATCTTCTATTCAAAATGCAATTTACTTAATTTTATTCTAGCTCAAAGTAGTATATTATTTTTACATATTATTACCTGCATCTTTTTCACCAAATAAAACATCGATCGTAGTGGACCTCTCATATGATCTAAGAAAATTCCTGGTCCAAAACTGAACATCATTTTTACCATTCTAGCAATTTTTGGACGCTCTGTTGTCATTACGTAAAAAACAGGTTCGCCCATAGAATGACCAATGTACGCGTGCAATGATTGTGATCTCATATTTGTAATAAGTGTAATCATCGCAGGTAAATCGTAGACGCCTATTTCATGAAAGCTAATAAAAAATTCAATATTACTGACTGAACTAATATTGTTAAAACTAACAAGGGAACGATTGGAAGTGACCCTGATTTTAATGAACTTGGAATATGTTTTGAAGCATTGAAAAATATTAAACCCGTATTTTTTTTAATTGCGTATCTTGACATTTAGAGGATAAAACAACCCTTCTTGAAAAAAATTGGTTTTTTTATTTCGGTATAAGATATAACGGTATAAAGTATAAAAAAAATGTTTCAAATAAAAGTTATATGGATTTTAATATTCTTTAAAACAGTGCAGTATGAAGAGGGAGAGGAAGAGGGATTTGACATTTTTGCAAAATTTGATTACACTGTTTTAAAAAATATTAAAAACCATCCAATTTTTATTCAAAATATTTTCTTATATCTTTTACCGTTTCGACAGTATTGGCTAAAAAATAAAAAAAAAAACGATTTTTTCAAGGGGGTAATTTACCTCCTAAATGTCGAGATACGCAGCTAAAAAAAATACGGGTGTAATATTTTTCCGTGGAATAACCCGCTTTTCTTATTATCTGCGGCTGAAGAATTAAGTAAAATCAGTAAAATAAGTATATATTTATTTTTACATAATAATTGTGTTTCTATACATTAATAATAACATAAATATAAAATATTACATATAATTGTAATTAATATAAAGTATAATTATATAATAACAACAGTAATAAATATTTATAAAATTTAAAATAAATTTGAATAAATATTAATATATAATATCTAATAAAGTATATAATTATAATTTTTAGGGTAAAGTATTTTTGCATAGTAAAATGTAAAGCTCAATTGTAATTATTTTAGAAAGAAATTGTAGAGAATTATATTGTTGTCCATATTTCTTACATATGTATATCATCGCAAATGAAATAATTCTAATGATTATTGCGTTATTAGAATATACATATAATTATGTATTTACTTTTAATCATATTAAATATACTTTAATAAATATCATTAAAAAAAAAAAATTGCATATGACGTGTAATATCTAAGAAAACTTTATTTAATCCATACTAATAATATATAAAGAGATAAAGTTTGTTTGTTTCATTGTTTGGGGTAATCTCAGAAACTATACTCAACCGATTAGAAAAAATCTTTTACAGGTGAATAACTTAGATCTTCCTGAGTAACATAGGCTATATGCAATCGTCTTGCAAACTTCTAAAAATGTGCGCGTATTGTACAAAAAAATTCTTTACGTTCTTTACGCTTTATATTTTTCCAATAATTTTATAATTTAACGTTGCAGCGTAAATAATTCATACTATATTCATACAAATGTACTGGTGAAGATTTTATCAAAATTGGTCGTGTAGTTTTTACGCTAAATTATTAAATTATTGGAAAATATAAAGAGCAAAGAACGCATTTTTTGTACAACGCGCACATTTTTAGAAGTTGTAAGACGATTAAGTACATAGGCTATGTTACTCAGAAGGATATACACCAGTAAAAAATTTATTAGTTTCTCAGATTATCCCACACAATGGAACAAACAAACTTTACTTCTTTATATGTATATTAGTATAGATATAGATAGAAGTATAGACAAGTAAGTAAGTATAGAACTTCGGCTTAAAATATACTTGCCTCCTTGTCGCGTAAAAATATAAAAATGTAAAGCAAATCATGATAAAATAAAGAAAACACATAAAAAACATACAAGTTAAATTTTAGAAAACATTAAAAACACAAGAAAAATCTTTAAAAAACTAACATATGTAGATTATTAGTTCAAGTTTAAAAGTATATTAATAGTATAAAAAATAATGTGGCAAACTCTAAATAAATAAAAACATACAAGCTTTAACATACTAAAAATAAAAGTATATTAAGAATAAATAAGCTATAAGAGCTAAACGCGGATGACGTTAATTACACCGAGAATTCGCTTATTTTCCCCTAATCATTTGTAGAAAAAAAGGCGAAAAAAATAATGATCCGAAAGTCGTTGAATCAAAAACTGAACCCGAGTCTTTCGAATTTAAATTCCAATTGTTATTTGCGCATCCTCATAAATCCGCAACTATATACCGAGCGCACAAAGCGCGCGAGAAACAAGTGTCAGCTAATAATTTAGTATCTACACAAATAATCAAAGCCGGATCTAGATATTTTCTCATCCGAGGCACTATTAGCAATTGACGCCCCTTTTATCTACATATGCACAAATGCATGTCAAATTAACATAAGCTTGGTAGGTATTTGAATTGCTACATATTAATATCATTTTCGCATTTTTATAAAAAAACTTTTTTAAAAAAATTGTTCAATTTATTGTTCATTTTTATGCCCTCTCATGTCTTTCATCCGAGACGAGTGCTTCGCGCGATCTAGATTCGACTCTGCAAGAAACATTGAAGGGATATTGAATTGATTAATATATTTAAATCATTGAGAAGATTCTATGGTATTTAATAGCGGTTGGTCACCAGTCAAGAATGAAAGCCAATCGACTGCAAACATCTATAAGAGGAGAAAACTTACTATGTTAAAAACGTTAAAAATATTATGTGTTTTACTAAAAGTATTTATGCTAATGAGGATGGCTCTCACGTCCTTTTCGAAGGATCAGGAGGATTGTATAACTCAGGTCAGTTTCCCGAAAATTCATTTATTTTATACACTCTGATCTACACTTAAAGTGTGCTTTACACGATGCTGCTTTTATTCGCTTTGAGCAAATTTCTTAATTTGTCAGCAAATCCGCTAATAAAAATTTTTTTCTAGATGCTCGTTTTTTATTTGCTAGCGTCTAAAATTGTGAAATTGCGGCGTGTAAAGAATGCTCTACACGATGCTTCTTTTGACGCTTGTCGCTGGCTTTTTTTATCGCAAGCCTTTTGCTCTTTCAAAACAAATTTCTGGTTGACGAAGTCGCTAGCGTTAAATCATTTACACGTTGCTATAAAAAAAAAAAAAATAAATAAAGTCGCAAGCGTTTTGGCAAAAATTTTTCTCGTACATGCGCAGGATGCCGAATTATTCGCTACTCGCCTGGTTATTTATTCGCTACCATTTTTACACGGAGCGTTTTTTGATGCTGGTGCAAAATCGCTCAGTTATTTGCTTGACGAGACCGTTAAAGTTAAACATGTTTAACTTTAGCGCAGCAAGACGCAGTGAATATTAAATGCCGCGATTAAATTAAATGTTATATACATTGCAGACAATAGATTGTTTATGATATTAATATTTTTTACTATGTCACTATTTATGAAAAATTAATGATATAAAAAAAATAAAGTTTAATTCTACGTCATATATTTAAAGATTGATGTTATATTATTACATATTTAAATTTAATTGTGATGAATATTTAAACTTAATTGTAACATATGTTGATATAATTGTTTTGTTACAAATAAGAATTGTTAATATTAATGATTTTGTTATTCAGTCCATGTATCTTCTGTTACATAATAAATATACATGTATGTATGTCATATTTTTCATACACTTATTTATTTTTATATTATTTCATATTCTCTTGTGATGTCTAAAACTTTTTTTAAATATACTTTTTTTAATATTTTTTATATATACTTTTAATACCTTTTAATGCTTTTTTTAATACTTTTTTTAGATATTTCCTTAACAGCAGAAATGTTCGAAAGATATTCAGAAAATGTCCATAGAATGTTGCAATATTTTATGGATATTCTCTGAATATCTTGCGAACATTTCTGCTGTTAGGGTAATATTTATTAATTTTTGTATAAAATTTTTAAGTAAGTTATATATCATTTAAAGCAATCAATATAAAAAATTAGAATTTTTTAGAATAAATTGAAAGCGTAGAAAACTACTAAATGTTGAAATGGAAGATGGGCACAATAAATTACGTTCTCGAACAAACAGTTTCAAGGCCAATAACATACACAGCTATTGTTCTTTATATGTTCCAATTGATATGCAATTTATTATGAAAAGTATACATTAACACATATATGTACATAAAATTAATATAAAAACTAAATTATTAGACAAAATTATTTTAACATTTAAAGAGAACCAGGCTTGCAAGACAGACAA